TAATCGTGCCACAAGCCTGTTGAAGAGCCCAGAACAAGAGACTGATAAGAAATAAAGTAAAATAAATAAATTTACCTGTTTCCATGTTATTGTCTTTTTCAATACCCTTAATTATCTCAATATTTTTCCACTTCGCTCTTCACTTTTCTGCGATTTCTTCATCTTGTCTTTTGACCATATTTCTATTTTTCTACCCTTTGTATTATTCACATTCTTTTGATCTTTGTATTCTGCATTTAAAGCTTGCGTACCATCGCCCGGGGATCGATTCTATCCTTGTTCCACTATAACACCACAATCTCCGTTTGATACTTGTGCGAAATCGCCGGCCCTTTTCAAACGCCCAAGTGCTTTTAAAGATCTGCTGTGTAAAGTAATGTTACTTGAAATAACACTTGTTGGAAACTGTCATCTGGGCTGAAATAAAAACCAAGTCGGTGTATAGGGAATACCCGATCACGATAAGAGGTCCGAGGAGGAGGGCTCAATGATTGGTAGAAATTAATTCCTTTCGTGAGACCTTTTATTTAGAAGCTACCATGAAGGATAAAACTAGTTCCACTCCCCCCCCCCTTCTTCCACCCCTACTTTGATAAGAGGACAGAAAGAAGGGCAGCAGTTGGTAAAAACCGAGTTCTTTTCTTTTGAGACCTTTAATTAGTTTGTAGCCTTATTCCATCTTTTATAACGCACTCAAAACGGGAGGTAGATGAGATGGTGATAGCTGAATTGGTGATGGGAATAAGTAGATTGATAAAAGACACTAAACCTCTCCCCATACTTCTTTTTTATTATTTCCGCCGAGTTAAAATAAAGGCATTAGTGTATTAGGGATTAGGTCACTGTCACCTAATGCCTTGTTTTTAACTACCGCCGCGAAAATAATAACAAGCGTAAAAAGTAATCGCTTAAACGAATTACATAAAGCCGCCCCAAATTATCCACTCTGCATTCATTTCCCATTTGTAAGATGCCCAACTCTGTATAAAATCGTAAAAATCCGGCACCAAATATGAAAATAGCGCTGGCACATGGGCCAATCCATTGTTGACGGGCCATACTCAACAATATTCAGTTTATGAGAAGAATTTCATTGCAATAGCTTTTCTACAATAAGAAAGTTGGAACTGCGCCATGGCCCAAACCAAATTTAAATACTAATGTTTCAGATTTTCCTTTGATTCCAAGCGCCCTATGTATCAAATTTCACGTTAAATGGTTCTTCCATTAGATAAAAAAGTTGCACTGCGCCCATGCGCAAAATAAAATTTTGAAACTGGCGCCCCATAGTACCGATTTTCCTTTATTCCAAGTGCCTATGTATCCAAATTTCGTTTAAATTCTTCACATAAATAGAAAAGAGTTGGCACTGGCGCTGCGCCAAAAAAAAAAAAATCCAAATTCTGAAATTGGCGTTTGATATTTCCTTTATTCGAAGCTGCCATATGTATCAATAATATTCGTTTAAATTCTTCCATAAATTAAAAAATTGGCACTACGCAATGCGCAAAACCAAATTTTGAAATTGGCGTTGATTTTCCTTTATCCCAAGTGCCCTATGTATAAAATTCGTTTTACAATTCTTCCATAAATAAAAAAGTTGGCCATGCGCATGCGCAAAACCAAATTTTGAAATTGGCGATTGTGATTTTCCCTTTATTCCAATGCCTAATGTATCAAAATTTCGCTTTAAATTCTTCCATAAATAAAAGAGGTTGCACTGCGCCCATGCCGCCAAAACCAAATTTTGAAATTGGGTTGGATTTCGCTTTATTCCAAGTGCCTATGTATCAAATTTCGTTTAAATTCTATCCCATAAATAAAAGATTGGCAACGTTACGCATAGCGCCCAAAACCAAATTTTGAATTGGCGTTTATTTTCCTTTATTCGAGCTGCCTATGTATCAATTTCGTTTAAATTCTTCATAAATAAAAAAAGTTGGCACTACGCCATGCCCGCGAAAACCAAATTTTGAATATTGGGCGTATTGATTTTCCTTTATCCCAGAGGCCTATGATATAAATGTTCGTTTAAATTCTTCATAAAGAAAAAAGTTGGCACTGCGCGATGCACAAAACCAAATTTGAAATTGGCGTTGATTTCCTTTATTCCAAGTGCCTATGTATCAAATTTTCATTTCAAATACTCTTTATAAAGGTAAAAAAGTTGCAATTCGGTTTATAAATGGTCGAGATGCGAAACAAGGGCACTGCTGAATTTCGAATCCGATTCGATGTTCAACTTGTTGGCATTGACGTATATATGGCCTAAACTATGCCCATATTGAATTTCATGCAATTCAGTTCATAACTAACGGAGATGTAAAAGCGATCGAACATTTCTAAAAAAAGTTATCGTTCACACGGACAGATAGATGGACAGACAGACAAAGGAACAGACGGAGAGACCAACCGGCAGGCGACAGATAGCAATGCAAAATTATAAACGATCTCTAGGATCGTAAATAAACGGCAAAAGTGTAAAATTATGGAACATGTAAAAAACGGTTTTTTGTTTTTTTTACAATAACTTTTTTGTAAGCGGTACAGAAAAAAATTCCTTCCTTGGTACAAGACTCGACACCATAACGAACCAAATAGCGAAAAAAGTAGAACAATATCTCTTAAGATAAAGAACTAGTAGCGTCGCAAAACGAGCGGACGGACGGACGGACGGACAAAGTGGCCACAATAGCGCATTTTTTTTATTTTTGTGGAAATGCGCTAAAAAGAAGTATGGGGAAGGTTTAGTGTCTTTTATCAATCTACTTAACCTTTAATTAGAATACAATGAGAGATAAAATTAATTTTTAACCCCCCCTCAGGCCCCGTCCCTCACTGATCTCGAAAAAGAGTCGCACGGGAAAGTTATAGTTTGTACAAACCAATATATTTCGATGAGACCTTTCATTTGAATACCATGAAGGGTAAAACATGTGTTAACCCCCCCCCCTCCATTTTCTAAAGCTTCACTTGGCACCACTAAAGGCATGTGTATGCAAAATCTGAGACCAATTGGTTGTCGTATGTAAAAGTTATGAAGGTTTTACTTTCAAAAACAGCATCGCAGGAAATAATTCGTGGGGGGGGGGATTTAGACAGCGAAATTTGATGGCCGTCTGGCACACCTTGAAGGTATAGGCTACCTACTGCAAATTTCAGGACTCTAGGACCATTCCCCTAGAAGTAGTTCGAAATGGTAGAAGTGGGTCCGGACGGACGGACGGACGGATTCTTAAAAAATGCTCTAAAAAGTATTCTTAGGTTACTTTCTGTAAATGGAAAAGATTTCTTAGGCTTGTACCTATCCTTTAATTGAATCTTTCACAAACGGGTGTAATTTAGGGTATGCTACTCAACCTGCTCCATTTCTTAATGGCAGCATTGTTTGAAGCGGGTAGAAAATTTAGATTCCTTTGATATTTCCTTCACATATTCCAGTATTAAAGATGTATTTAACTCTTTGTTCGTAAGATGCTTCCTATTCATCCACGAAAACAACTTTTAGTATTTATAATGTAGGCTTTGCTGGATTTGAATTTTGCACCTACCAACTTTCCTTCTGCTTTTGCATCAAGCCATTGCATGGAAGGTTTATTGTTTTTTCAGCCCAAGTCATTTTAGTTACGCAAAAAACCTTCATTTTCATGCCTACTTGATAGGGAATATTAGTTTCCATGACCAGACTATCTTTCTTGCTACCTCAGTCAGTTTATCGGCCTTAACTTGACATTAATAAAAAATTCTAAATGAAAGTTTTCTTTCTAAGCAGGCAAGCCAGCGAGCTTCAACCTAACACCAGAACCTTGTCTATCGGGGGCTAAAAAACTCACTTCATTTGCGAAAAAAAGGTATATTTTAATTCATAAATAATTTCATCAATGATCTACACTAGTGGAAGAGGTGAGCGTTGCGGGCGGCAGCGTGTGCGGCGAAGTGCTGAGCGCGAGCGGCCAGAACCTCAGGTGTTTCGGAAATTCCAACATGGGTCGAGAGGGCAGGGAGGGCGAAATGAATCGGTGCGGCGATCTTGGCGACTGCTAAGGGAGCGGCGATTCTCGAATAGGCGAGTGGAGCGGCGGCGAAAGGAATGGGTGCGGCGATGAAACCTTCTTCGGGCCCTTGGAATTGGGGAAGTTTGGGTGCGAGGTAGGCGGCGCGGAGGACGGAGAGGTGATTGGCTTTAGCGAGGGCTACTTCGGGTGTGTCCTGGACTGGAAGTGGGATGTCGGTACCGATGGCGTTGTATCCGTGGACGCCGGAGGTGAATTCGGTTTTTCTCACGATGCCGTATGGGTCGATGTAGGAGAAGGCGCCGTTTACGTTTCCGTGGAGATCTCCTCGTTCAACTCTGGAGATACCGTCGATGGCGTATTTGAGGCCATAGTTTCCTAGGGTATCTTGTTGTACTGCTACCAATTGTTCACCGGCTAAAACGGCGGTCACGGAGAATGTGAAGACAATCTGAAAATAAAGATGGGCAATTTAATAACTAGAACATCATTTTGTAGGTAATTGTTTGCTTACCAAAGCGATCATTGTGTTTTGTGATAGAACAAAATGGTAGTGATGTATTGTACTAGCAATTGTACCTTTATATAGTAAGTTAAAGTGGTACTATCACTCATTAAAATAGGATTTCAAACAAACAAGAAAGGTAATTGTTGTTATTATTAAAACCGATATTGATTTAAACCCTTAGGGTGCAGTAACATCAACTAATGGTACCGGTATAATAATTACAGCCAGAAACATAACAACTTGGCATTTGGAAAGTACATTTTCTTTGACAATATTTACATTCACTGTGAGTACATTATGACAATTTAGACAATTTCAAGAATTTGCAAAATTAAAACGTTTAAAGGTGTAACTGCTAATAGTCTCGCGAATTGCTACCGAAAATTATGCACAATTGAAACGACTTTTGACATAATTACACAGATTGGTAAACTATCTAGTAAATCATCATCAAAGAAATTAATTAGGCTTGTGTTGAACCACTATAATGAAAAACGTAAGTGTTTCTGGACAACTTGCTATGTATGGCTTATTGTATCAAGTTTGTCGCGTCTCTATATAAATTCCATGGGTGCGATTATCGATGCAATAATTGCATCTGTAAATAGCTTTATATGAAGATGAAAAGATTCCCACTTACTCTACCTAAACGTGATAGAAGTCCCGAAACTGTGATCAGGTAGCGCTTAAGCGAGCCATTACAAAAAACTCAGGTGGGTTAGGTTGATGGGTTAAGCCAACACCTCTTAGTTGCTACCCTACTTTGCTAAATTGCGGAAATATATTGTGCTGGATTTTACAAACGTGCTGATGCCAAAATGAGTAGAATTGTTCTATGGAGGGATCTCACTTTTCGGGAAATTTGAAACCCGTATCTACAGCCGTTTTACTTGCTTTGTGCTGATTTGTGTACTTATTTTCAAATTGTGCGAGCCTTTTATTCCAGAACAAATAAAAGTCACGTTTCATTGAATGTAACGATGCTCCGCTTCTTCGCAAATCCATTTAAAACCTCTGTGCATATTTACATCTGTATCCTATGATAGTTTTTTTTTATATCTTTTGCCCATTTAAAAAAAATAGGCTATTATATTCGATATGGCTGGCTGGCTGGCTGGATAGCAGTATACTTTGACTTAGATTACTCGTGACGTGTTAATAAAATACTGATTTTGATGACCAAAAATGTGCTTTAATCATACATTTACGGATTTACACTTCGTTTTATATATTTTTCAATGGTTGACACTACATGAGAATGCAAAAGATTTAAACGAATATAAATGGGAACATACGATAGCGCAGAAGGGCAATTCAAGTTGGTAACTGTACCTTTACACGTTTATTTAGGTATTTGGAGAAGTTACCATGAGTTTCTATGAATTTACAGATTTTTTTGTAAATTTACAAACCTACCTCGCAAGTAATGCAACTTTCGGTTATTCCCGAGGTTATTCCGGATATTAACAAACGGTTTTTGAAAAAATTCAGTCTTTTTGAAATTTGTTTAGAAAATTAGTTTCCATTTGTAAGGCAAACAGAACAGATGTTCTTTTGATGCCTTTAGGAGACACTTAGGCACAGCACAAAAACACTAGAAGGCTCTAAGGCCTTCATAACCTTCCAAGTGATACAGTTTTCGACGGTTCCTTCGAGAATACCTTTTAGGGTTCTTCAGGGCTCACTTTTTTTTCCGAGAACTTCTCGTTAGAGTTTTCGTGGTTCCAAACAGTGGACATCACTCCTTGAGAGATTTTTAAATGCACGTTAGGTTTTCTGGAAAGACATGATGAAATTGGTTGGTATACCTCACATTGGGGTAGCTCGATCAGGAATGGTAAATACACTAAATCTCCCCACGCATCCAAAATTTAATGACAAATTAAAGTTGACAGGTAGTACTGATGAAAAGACACGACATGAACGAGGTGCGTTCCGAAACATGTCGTGTCTTTTCATCAGTACTACCTGTCAACTTTAATTGTCATTAAATTTTGGATGCGTGGGGAGATTTAGTGTATTTACCATTCCTTTTCTGGAAAGCCCAAAAAACTCTTGAACACATTATAAACGCTATATCTACAGCAATCGTATAGTCCAACTTCCTAGATATTTACTACAGATGTCTTCCAACGGTCTTCTAGTGCCACCGAAGATCTGTTAGGGTTTTGTCAGAGCTTCTTGGAGACCTAATCAGCGCTTTCGATGCATTTTATAGCTTTCCAGACCTGTGTAGATTCTCTGTGGTTTGGAAAGGACCTAAAAAGTATTAGAAACGCCATAGAAAATGCCTGAGAAGATTTAATCGCATTCTTGAGGGCTCGTTGAAGCATTTTAAGTCTCGTAGGAGTGTTCCAGATCTTTCTCAATGCATTCTGACCTTAGGCCATTTCCTCTGCCCTTTACAGAACTCTACAGCGCTATTACAGGGCAACCTATCTCCCTCTTAAACCATTTTAGTTGTTTTCACAACGTTTTAACTCATTGATAAGTTTCTTAGACAGTGTACAGGGTGAGTCAACGATTGCGCGGAGTAACTTAATGCCTTGAAGATAAGATTTTTCGATAGAGTGCTTTTGTATTATGATATGGTTGAATATTCTCCACATTTTAAAAATATTTGGAATTATACAGGATGCGCCCACAAAGTAGGGCGCCCAAATGCTACATTTTTTTAAATGGAACCCCCTGTATTTGAATGCATTTTTGAATTCTACGTGTAATTGTACGTCTTTTTTCTTATATGGTTAATATCCGAAAAGCTAGTAGTTTTAAAGATAATTCGATTTTTAAGAAAAATTGCAAGCGGCAGTATATTGTCAAAATTATTACTTAAATTTTGATTCCAGGTTTTGTATCTTTTATTCTGCGTTAAGTAAAAGTCAAATAAATACATCTACTATAAAACATTAATAATAATAATATAATAATGTTTATTTGTTTAAGTAGATACTTTTACAAATCGTGGTTTCTTAACAAAAAATTACAAACGCAAATAAAACAATTTTTCAATTTAATATAATATTGACAGCAGCAAAGATAAACAAATGATTATTTAGGTAATTCTTACTTCAGAGAAAAAAAAAAGAAAGTCATTCGTTAAAAATAAAAGCTCTTACTCTAGGGGCGCCAAAAATATAATAATAGAGATCACTCAGTTGCTGTGCATTGTTTATTGTGAGAATAGATTCAATGGTGAGCGGAGGTTCAAGTCTATGTAGATATTGTAGATATTGGGTGCGTACTATAAAACATTAAAAAAATAGCTTACAGGGTGTTTTTTTCTAGATCCAAAGTTACAAAACTTCATATTAAATAATTTTTTAAATGGTCATCTTTCAGCTCCTCCAAAAACCTTCAACTTTTAATAATAATGTCCTATACCTATCTCATGATAGTTGTCGATACATCTTGGTTTTCCTGGTTTTTATATTCTAATTTTAAATAAGTTATATGTAATTTACATAATAGTGAGGTGGCCATGCAAAAAAGGCAATTTTTATCTGCCTCGTTCAAAGCTAAATCATGTTTATTAATTCATTTTTCTAATAATTCATTTAAGTCTATAAAAACTAAAGAATAAATTTGATAGTAAAAACATAACCAAATATCTTGGTTTATCTACTTTTTATATTTTAATCTGAAATAAGTTCTAATTTCCATAATAACGAGGTGAATATGAAAAAAAATGAAACTAAATCACTGACTGGATGATATTAGGAGTTAAATTAAATTAGCTTTGTAGTAAAATGTTTTTAGTTGCAAAGTTTAAAAGCACTCCGCTACGCGTCGTGCCTTTATCTCGTTGCGACTTGATTTTACACTTGTTTCTTCATACACTATGTCATAATCTAGGCAGGCCCGACCTGAATTTGCACCCATCATATAGATGCCTTGTGTAAATATAAGTACCAGCAGGCCATAGAAATAGTTCCGAAAATTTCATACAGAGTATAATCAAGCTATTTCCTCTTTGACCATTATTCCGATCGTTTGCAAACACATTAAACACATTGTACTCTGTTGATCCTAGAAGACAACATCTTTCCATTTTTTTATGTAGGCTAAAGGAACTGGTTTTAATGTACTCTAATCAAAGGTCCCAAGTAAAGGAATTGATGGACAACCCTATCATCAACCCTTCGTAGTGGTCGGTTGTAATTAGTCATATCTTAAAAGTCGGAGAAGGGCACTCACGAAATCCAAATTAATCTTCTGAAAGAGACATGTCTTTTGATGAAGTGGAAAAGAATTTCTCAAAGGAGAAGTGTCGGACGGGTGAGTGAAACGTCTGGACGAAACTTATCCATTGGTGAACGGAATATGGGAGGACGGTATGCTCAAAGGGCATTATACGAAGTGTCTGTAAAATATCGAGATTTTTTCGAAATCAAATAAAATACTAAAAATAGGCCCCTTGAGCATCAATACAACGCTTCCAGTGTTTTTTACCAATATTCATAGGTCCCCTGAAACTCTAAGATCGCACCATTGTTCATGCATCTCATCAAAGCGTCTTAGACTGCTTGAATCGAGTAGAAACTCGGTTTCTTCAGGTGTCTCTTGATTCTTGGGGAGACAAGATAATAACTGAGAGCCAGGGTGGGACTGTAGGGTGGCTGCGGTAACGCTGCGATGTTTTTACATTAAACAAAATTAATAAATTAATAATCAAACAATTTCTCATCCATCGCGAATGTCTGTCTTTGCTAAAGCCCTGTCTTCTATTTTAAAGAAATACTAGTATAAATTCCAATTAAACCATTTTGATCACTATAACCACACTGCTGCCAGGTTAAGGAACTTTAATGGTACTTACTAATATTATACTTTCTTTATTGGCATTTATATACAATTATATCACAATCTAATTTGACCTTAATCAACCTTAAAAATCAAAGAAATGGGGGGATGGTGGCGAGCTCAAGTAGGCGGCATTAAGAACGGCGAGATGTTCAGCCTTAGCTTGGGCAACCTCGGGAGTGTCTTGTACCGGAACTGGAATATCGGTACCGACG